CGGCGTTCGGAAGTCGAATCGACCGGTGTTGTTGTTCGACGTTTGGAGGTTCGAGACGATTGGAAGATCGAGATGATATGGGTACGGTATATGTAGTGATCAAAAGTCGAAGCAAATTGTTACAAACACGATAAGTTCACAATAATGATTACAAACGCAACTGTTTCGCTTCCAAGTGGATATTATTCGTTGTTCTGAAAGAAAATTGTTCTGAAAGAATATATTATTGTAATAATTATATGCTGCATTCTCTCATCACAATCGACCTTCTCCACTCGTGTGTCCAGACCACCCACATCCACTTTTCCTCACCCAAGCGTTGTGTCGTCGCGGTCTCGATCTTAGTCTCTCGTTTCTGCACTTTTGGGAGTAACCAGGCGACAGCCCGGATGTGCGGACGGCGAAGAAACTGGTCTTGGACCTCTTGGACGAGCTGAGCTCCTCCAAAAGCGGCGCTGCCGCGCGCGAGCGCCGAGCCTCGGCCGCAGCGGTGCCCGCTGCGCCGAGCGGGGAGTGGTTTGGGGGCGGCGAAGCCGGTGGAGGGCTTGAAAGGAGCCCTGTTTTGGACTCGCCTTGTTTGGCAGTGTCGAGCCAGTTTTTGGCAGGTGAACTGAAGCAAACGCTTCTTTCAGAGGGAAGAATCCTCTTGGCCTCCATCTTTCTTAAGACATGAGCTTCCTTTTTTTTGCCAATCAAGTCAGCTGATCGATAGAAACCCACTAAGACCCAAAAAGCCGTTTAGGAGCTCCTGTGCCAGCGATGTTGGGCCACACTGGAAAGCATTCAGAGCGGTGAAAGGCGAAGAGCGGTCGGAACGGCTCTTCACTCTCCCAAGGATCTCAACCACTGACCACTGAAGTGTGACGAACTGCGAACACATCCGAACACCCACTCGATCCAACAGAAAGAATGCCGAAGCATCTGCGTTTGCGTTGGGTTTTTTCTTCCTGGAGCACCTGGCTCAGGTGAGTGATGTCAAACATGTCAAGCACTCCTGGGAACACATTCACATGGAAGGTGGAGTGAAAACCCACCTGTTTGGTCTTCGGAAAAGGGTCGCCATCCACGTTGCCGCATGATGATTCCAGGGGAGTGTGATACCAATGATTCACGGTTCTTCCACTTGGCTTGTATACCTCCCACCATGATGCCACCCTTTTTTCCGTTCTCTTCCGTTCTCGGCTTCTTATCCCCCCAACCCAAACGAAAGACGTCCACCTTCCGAGCCTTCCGAGCCCTAGCCAGCTCCCTCCGAAGGCGGGGAGGATGGCTCCGTGGAGGAGTCCTTGGCCGTTCCCGTGGGTCGCATTGGACACCTCATCGGCAAGGCGAGCCGCGAGCTGACCTGGGAAGCCTTGGCGGAAGCCTTGAGCGGGTCGGAGCGAGTCTGGAATCCAGACAAGGCTTTGAAAGGCAAACAGAGGTTTGACCCTCTCAGATAGAACCCCTCTAGTTAGATCTTCAGAGGTTTGACCCTCCATGGTCGGGGCTTTTGAAATCAACCAGATCATGTGGCGCCGGCTTGCTTCGGTGGCCAACGTGGAGACCGAGGGCGTCGACTCGGATGCTTCTCAGGATGTGACGAAGCCGGGGGTCGTCGATGTCAAGCCGGAGTTCCTGCAGAGTTCCCGGTGGACCACGGAAAATGAACAGAACAAACATGAACAAGCTAATTCCCAACGTTATCTAATATATTACTATTACTGTTAGTTTTACTATTACTATTGATATTATCCAGGTATATATGTGAATCCTGATTCCTTGGAGTGGATACTATCCGTTTGTTCCTTCCCAGTGAAAAGGAAACTGCCCCGAGAAAACGGTCCAACGGTCCGTTCCGTTCGCTTTTCGCCAGGGTGGTAAGAACATCCAAGACTTGGAAAAGCTGACTGGTGCAAGACTGCGTGTGGCTTTGTTTGCGCTTGATGCAGACTGGGATGATTTTTGTGGGAAGTTGTGAAAACATCCGATCAGATGACAACATCTTCGCTATAGGGAGTGGTGAATCCCTGTTTTTCACTTGGGAAGCTTGAAAGATGTGGTGAATCCCTAAGGGTCGCGCCATTTTTGGGGCTCCACCCGATTTCATCCGGACATCATCCAGTCAAGACTTCTCAGCTCGTAGTGGCTCGGCTCGGCTTACAGGGTGGGTGGGAAACCCAGTGCGGTGAACACGGGGTCCATGGGCGAAGGACGGCTCCCTGGGCCGTGCCCTTTCGGCCATTTCGGCCCGGCCCGGACGGCAGGTTCAAACACACGGTGCGGTTTTTTTTTCTGCCGAACTGGATGCCTCAAAGAATGGATGTTTGTTCATGTGTGTCAGGGGTTTGAACACCTTTAGATGGTTTCCTACTGAAGATGTGCATGTGAACGCACACGTCGTACTACTCGAGTTTGGGGCGCATGACTCCTTCCGGGTGGTTCCAATGGCGCTGGGTGCTTTGGGCCGAAACACCGACACCGCCGCATGTCGTGCGGACGTTGGACCGCCAGAGTGCATCCCTTCCGCTGTGAAAGGCAGGCCGTCGGATTGAGACCATGACAGGTCTCAAGCATGTGGCCCTTTCCAAGTTCGCATACAGGATGGATAGGGTAGGACCTGGGAGTTCAATGCCCAAGTTCGAGAAAGTTCTATGACCAAGTGACCAAGTCAGTCCTCGTAGCTGTCCAAGTCAGTCCTCGTATGACTTTTGGCATCTCGCAATGAGACGATAATGCACACTGCAACGGAGAGACCTGTTTCTGGCTGTTGTTCCGTATGCACGAACCATTTCACGCCTGAAAACGAGTTGGAATCGGAACGAATAAACAACGCCCAAATCCTCCAGAAGCCGGAGGCCTAAAAAGATCAGACAACCTTAAAAGAGATTGAACAGCCCTAGATAGCCGATAGCCAATCTCATATGTACCACAACAGCGTCCTAGTTCAGGTCTCTCAACCTATTTGGGACTTGACTTTGTCTCCGCTGTCTCCGCTGTCTCCTAGGTCTTGCCGGCCGCGAATGACGAGGAGGACGAGCAACGGCTCTTGGTCTCCGGTACACCCAAAGCCGTTGAGCTGCTCGACGCCCAAAGCTGTGCCGTCCTTCATCGAGTCGAACCGCGCGCAGAAGCGAAGGACGGTTGGGTGGACATGACCTGCTCCGCCCTTGACCACTGTACCTGACCCATCGATCCAGTCTCCGACTTCCTGAAAACCGATAAAAAAACGATGGTTTTGGGGTATAACCAGCTCCAGTGAAGCGGTGTCAGGCAACCTGACCTGTAGGGCTGCGTTTGGAAAGAAGGTGGCGGCTTCCGTGAAACAGGGTGCAGTTTTGGGGATTCATTGTGTCTTCTTGGCTTCGTATCAAATGCACCGTGGTCGTTCTGCAACCACTCAACACACAACCTGGTTTGACCTACTCAGATATATAACATAGTGGCTTTAACTTACTTTTTGGCCGGATTGAACATGAACAGGCGGGACAAGGTTAGGCTACCAAAAAGGAACATATCTCCAAAGTTAACCTCTGAAAGTGGAGGTTTGTTCCTACACAAATGGCACAAGATGAGTTTCACACAGGGAGGATATGACTTTCCTGCTGATGTTTGCAGAGTCTGGTGTGTGGACTCCAAAATCACCGAATCACAACCAGGGCGCCCAAAGCAAAGTGTTCTTCACCCCACCTCACCCTTGGTCCAAAACGCGTCCGTCCGTGGTTTTTGACCTGGCTGAGTCTGGCAAAGAAGCACTTGCGGAAGTACATTCCCACCCTGCCGGACGAAGTGACCGCCTCAGGCAGGTCTCCAACGCGGTGTCGGTCGGGTGAACTCGGAAGTTGTGAGTTCGGAAGTGGAAGGGGAAAAGAGTGCGGACCTCCGGGGTCTTCGGGTATATCCTGGTGTTTTGTGATATCTCTTTTTTGTTTTTTTTGCGGTTCCTTTTTTTCTTCCCCGCTACTTAATTAAGTAAGCGCCTGCTTAATTCAGTAAGGGACAAACTAGACTTAACTTATAAGCCACTAGAAACTTGTTCGCTCCTAGCTAGGACGCAGGATCGCTCATGCACTAATGATTTGGTTCCTAGATCTTTAGGGAAACTTATATACTGTAACTTAATAGCTGAGTCTGTGTGCGTATCCTGATTTGAGTTGGTTACTTTGTATTTGGACCCTCCCAACAAGTCTCCATCAACCGTTTGAGTGTGTGTTAACAAGCATTTGTATGCATCTTGGTGGAATTTAAGGAAGCTTGTTGTTTGTCGCGGACATTTGTGCTTCGCCTGGGTGGAAGAACTGCTTCGCGGGTCCAGAAGAGATTTATGTTTTTGCGCAAGTGGACTGATCTCCCCGAAACACGACATTCAGCAGACGCAGCTTTCACGCTCTTTCAGGAAACTAGATAAATGAGGAACTCAGGGTTTCCATCTCCTGTATGATCAGTTATATATACTCGCTTTCATAGTTTTGAAAAATACTTCCCATATCATCCAAAGTGTGTCCATGTTTCCATGCCCGCTGCTTCATTTTCCTTGGATCATTTTGGATCCCATTGTAGTCCCCAGTACCGTTGCGCCAAGAGCGCTTGTAGAAAAAAGTGCACAGCAGCATGGGCTGTGCATGGAGAATGGTCAGAGCCCAAAGGCCCAGAGGCCCAGATGTTGATGACGAAGAGCCTGAAGAATCAAACCATGGACACATTGTCAGTGTTTTGGGACTTTTCCTTTGCGCAAGACTGGCCTGGCAAGAGCACGATTTCTTTGAGCCCACCGGGGACAGTGAAAAGAGGCTTATTTGGCGGGGGCTGACAACTTGCGCTGGATGTTTGAATGATGTTTAGACGTTTTGGGACTGACCTCTCCTTCTCATCGGTTCATCAGTCTCACTTTGAGGTCTAGACTCGGCTCAACAAACCGATCTACAGCAGAGTTGAGACAAGTGCACATGACCCAGCCCAGGTGTGTAACAGACTATACACATCAAACAGTGGCTTTGGAAGGATTCATGAGGATTCTAATCTTCGACTTTGACCGAAACCATCCACTCCAGTCCCATGACCGACACCAACAGTCCCCCGCGTTCCCTCGATGCAGGCGTCCCTGAGCGCCGTAAGACGGAGACGGCCGCCGAACCACCGGCAGAACCGTCGCCGGGGGAGAGCTTGCGGGGCCGACGCGCACAGGCAGCAGAGGCAGGGGAGAGCCGTTGGCAAAACAGTTTTTCAGACTCTGAGATCTGATGAGAAAGCAAAACCATGTGTTTTTTTTGTTGGGGTACGTTTCACTTGTACGAGTAGAAAGCTTTGCAGCGTCTTGATGTGTTGCAAGTCTTTGATCCAGATAAGAAAAGAGATGAGCTATATTTCAGAACCATTACCATTAAGCCCAGAGTTACACCTTGGCAAGGAGCATGTTCTTCCACAAGAAAGGGAGCCTTCATCTTGCCAAGCTGCAGCCACACCTAACCGTAACTCCGACCTGACTTCACTGAGGTCTTGGAGGCTGCTGGCCGAGCACGGAACTCGCTGAAGGAAGTGGCCAGAAGTCGCAGCAGTGGCTCGGTCCGACCGACTGATGCGACTCGATGCGACTCGATGTCCGACCCCGGAGCGAACACTGGAATGGAGCGTGGTTTCTTGATGTTTCCTTTTAATTGGCGTGTAAAGGTTTTTATACAACCCTAGGGCTCCAAGTACCTTCTAAAAAGGTGTTTGGGGTGGAAAGAGAAAGAGAGTACATGCGTCATAGATTGATGTAGATTTGGTGCCACTGGACTGAAGCGACCTTGTTTTGCGAAGTTGGCAGAAGGTGCAGTTCAATCATAAGGGCAGGCAGAGCATGTCCTGAATGTAGCCGGCTGGGTTATATCATTTGAAACACATGTTCAGGTATGGGATCACTTGCATGATTCAAGCCATAGTGGGCCAAGTCCAAGAACGATGTATTTGCGTGGGGACATGCCATGACATGCTTGCGGAAAAAGCCCCACATCAGATGCCAGGTGCCTGTTGTCCAACACGTGGCATCAAAACATGGCATCAAAACATGGACCCGGCAGAGCTGCTCGGTCATTCATCTTCAACCCCGTAACCAACTGCTTCTTCGCTTTTGGAAGGCCAACGCCACCCTGGCGGCCGGAGCGCCGCGATATCTGCGACTGCGACTGCGACGAATCGGTACCATCGTCTGACGGGTGCGTGGTGAGGCGCATGAGTTGTCCAAGGAGCAACACCTGATAACTGGAGGATTCGTCATCATGACGTGACCAGACCCAGGGGCACGCCGCTGCCTGTCCTGGACTCCACCATGGCCACCTGCTTTGTCTTCAATTGGAACCATGGTGGCGCGCAGCGCTTTCAGGAGTGGGCCATTCTCCTGAACGATGGCACCATCAGATTTAGACACAAGACCAAGAGATGCACTTCACGAGGCCCAAACAAAATCACAGCAGGCACAGCAGCTCAGACTGGAACGCAAATCTAAAGGATTGAAATGCAAAAGTCGGCAGTGCAAGCACTCAGAAGAGCCATTGGAGACAAAGGTAGACGAAGGGAGACGAAGCAGAACCATCTCAGCCCACCATCCACCATGGGAGAAGCAGAGAAAGGGAGACAAAGCAGAATCATCTTAGCCCAGCATTCCAGCATCCAGAAGACGAGCCATGGCAGATAAAGGGGAACCAAGCAAGACAAAAGGAGAAATGGGTACAGAAGGCCAGAAATCATCTTGGCCTCGGATTGTTTCTATGCAAGAATTGAGAACTCCTCTGGCGAATGAAGCCCTCAAGCTCGTCAAGTCCTCACTTCATCTATGCCATGAGTTTAAAGTGTAAAGACATCCAGACCGTCGGGTCGTTCGAAGCAAACCGTCGGTCGCCCGAGGCTCCACGTCTTCGCGCACGCGGGTGAAGCGGCTTCGGGAGCGGAAGAAAGGCATCAGCTTGGAGGAGACTTTTCCGAGTGGCAGGTAGCTTTGAAGGGCGTAGGGACCAAGGGGTAGTTTGAAGAAGACGTGCAGTGTGCAGACCTGTCAAAAAGCATGAATAGCACCCCATGAACACTACGAAAGATCATTTGAGAGACGCCAACGAACAGCTCCATGCGGCTGCGAAGAACATGTACATCAGAGAATGACGGCACCCCTTCACCCTTAAAGATGAGCTATCAGTGACTGAGCCACAGATCAAGCTTTATAAAAGGGTCCACAAACTCAATCAAGTTCAGCCAGATGCCTTGCCACCGATGGTTGATGGAGTAGCATAAACACAGCACAGCTACGCACAGCTAGGGGATTTTAATGTCCCTTACCTGCTGTACCGAGTCCATTTGCTAAAGATGACGGCAAACCACCTCGCGACACGTGGCTAGGAGTACCAGGTGATGCTCCGCAAGCAGAAGGAGTTGGATGCCGCCGCAGCCAAGGCACCAGCGCAACACAAGCAAAACAAGGAGGCATAGGGTGCATCCTCATCACGAAAGCTAGCCTTAGCTAGCTGGAGTCGCTCTTGCTTTAGCAAGTTAAGTGACGGGGTGGACGCACCTCAGAAACCTCAAATAATTGATTAAATCAATCTTATGGACCCCCCCCCCT